CAGATCATTGTGATTCAGTTCATGCATTGTTAGCAATAGGATACTGGCAAATTAGCAACTGAGCAGTAATTGGGCAAAAATGAGCTTGGCTTTAAGGTGCGTGGTAGATACTACACATCCGTGATGGTTATAAGCAAAATACTAAATAAAAAGCCGAAAGAACTGTGAACGCTGGAAATCAGAAACAAAAATAGAAATTGTATAAAAGCTAACAATGGATTGAGTGTGGTAGCAGACCATGTGATAACAAGGCCTGGTGTGTGAGGATTGGGGTAAGGACATGGGAGAAGGTGCCTCAAAGTTGAATTCAAAGATATAACACCTGCCTATTTACTTCCTCTCTCCCCAGTATCCAAGGGCCCAATCACACCTTCCAGGTGAAACATCACTTTACCTGCACTTCCCAGAATCTAGTCGACTGCATTTGCTGCTCACAATTTGGTGTCCTCTACATTGGGGAAACGAAGCATAGACTGGGTGACTGCTTTGCAGAACATCTCAGTGCAAGCTAGAAGAACAGCACCTCATTTTCTGGTTGGGAAGTCTACCGCCTTCTGGACTTGATATTGAGTTCTTCAATTTTAGGACATGAAGCATCTTCTCCCGTGTCCTTACCCCAACACTCTCAAACCAGGCCTTGTTGTGACACAGTCTGCTATTACACACCACCCATCATTAGCCACTACTAGTCTCCATTAGCAGCCATTCATCCTTCCAGCTGGAACATTATCCACTCCTTTGTCTGTCCAACTGTTCTTCTCTCTCTTTGGCCCCTGTCCCCACCTATCATTTATTCCTTACCCTCCCCCCACCCTACCTCCTGCATATAAACCGTTTCCTAGCTACCATCAGTTCTGAAGAAGGGTGACCGGACATGAAACGTTAACTCTGATTTCTCTCCATAGATGCTGCCTGACTTGCTGAGATTTTCCAGTAATTTCTGCTTTTGTTTATAAGTTAAATACTCTTTCTTTTACTAATTTGCTTTGGTTCACAGGAGTAAAAAATAAGTTTCAATGTGCCATGTTACATTGTTCCTCGGATGTATGGAAGGAAAAGCATATGAATGTGCACTGAAGATGGGGTAGCCTCTCTCTCTCACTATTTCTATCTCTTGTGGTGGGCTTCAAACCTCCCACAACTGCCTGAAGTATGCATCTTTTCCAACGCACATTCCACCCAATCCTGTTTTCCCAGGTTCTGCATTGAATCTAGATTGGTGTGTCTACCTTCTGAAATGCACCCCCTTTGTTTTCCTCAGCTGAGGGTTTGTGTTTTGTTCCAATCAACAAGGATCTTGAGGGGATCTATCCCATTTCCCAAACTTGAACATTGAGCCCATCTAATTGCTCTCACAACGATGACAGATTTCTGCTGCTTGTCTCTTTATTCTCACCAGACCCTGATCACCTTTTGGCCTTCCTACAAGAACAACGTAAGTGCACCATCAAACATATCTTCCACTTCCATTTTTCTGGAGCGGCCATCCCTTCTGTGGTGCCCTGAGTCACTCATTCTTAGCTCTACACCTGCAAATGCTAATATCTAAATAAAAAATATCTTCAAAGCATTTTCACAAAACTCCTTTCTTGCTTCTTCTGATATGTTCTCCTTCAGGTTTCTGTGTCTCTGAATTCTTGTCTTTGAGGTGGAAAATGTGAAATATAATTGCTTCCAGTTACTGGGTGTGAAATAGTGTCTAGTGTTTGGAGAGATGGACAAGGTGAAAAATCAGAGGTCAGCTGTGGAAATGCGAATGTAGCTAAGGTTCAGTTTTTTCAGTTTTTCAGTTGCTTCAGTTTTCTATTTCTCTGCTACCTTCCTGTATAATGGCAGAAGGTACGATGCCAGCCCATGCACCAAGCCGTACACAATCATCCTTGTTCCTAGACGTCCTTGCCAAGTGAGGGAGAAATTCATGTGTCCTTTCTCTTCTCCTGTCTACTGAATTCACTGCCCACAGGGTGGTCTCCTCTACAATGCGGAGACCAGAGGCTAATTAGGTAGCAGTATTAATAAACACTTTAACGCTGTCCACAGGATTGACATCAAACCTGTAGTGGCTCACTTCCCTTCCTCTTCCATTCACCCTCTGTCATTGAACTCATAACACTGTTGTAACGAAGTTCAATGCAAAGTTCAGAAATAATAGTTTACCTTCCTTTCATGTTCATTCATGCGATGAGGGCATCGCTGGCTAGGCCAGCATTTATTGTCCATCCCTAATTGCCCAGAGGGCAGTTAAGAGTCAAACACATTGCTGTGGATCTGGAGTCACATGTAGCCCAGGTAAAGATGGCAGTTTCCTTCCCTAAAGGACATTAGTGAACCAGATGAGGCTTTTTTTCCGACAATCAACAATGGCTTCATGGTGATCGTAGACTTGTAATTCCAGATTTTCATTGAATTGAAATTCCACCATCTGCCATGGTGGATTTGAATCCAGGTCCACAGAACATTATCTGGATAAATAGTATGGCAATGATACCACCAGGCCATCACCTCCTCTCCACCTTTCTTCCAGGCACCCAACAGAACCTCTGATCCAATCCTGATTTCCATCTTGGAAATACATCGCCATTCCTTTAGTGTTGCTGGGCCAAAATGCTGGGACTCCCTCACTACTCACACCAAATGGACTACAGCAGTTCAAGAAGACAGCTCACCACTACTGCCTCAAGGGCAACTAGGATTGGGACAATAAATGCTGTCCCAGCAGGTGATGCCCATATCGCCTGCATTAATAAAAAAAACCTTAGCTACGTTCGCATTTCCACAGCTGACTTCTGATTTTTCACCTTGTCCATCTCTCCAAACACTAGACACTATTTCACACCCAGTAACTGGAAGCAATTATATATCCTATTTTCCACCTCAAAGACAAGAATTCAGAGACACAGAAACCTGAAAGAGAAAATATCAGAAGAAGCAAGAAAGGAGTTTTGTGAAAATGCTTTGAAGATATTTTTCATTTAGATATTAGCATTTGCAGGTCCATTGGACCATTTTTAGTAGGCACAGAGTTAACTCTTCCAGCTCTTAGCGGCACAGGAATGAAGCCTTATGAAGGTATCATTGATTCAGAGTTGGCAAAATTCTGCTGGGTAAGTGGTGTGAGATATCTACCATCCGATGAGCATTTTTCCCACTTTGGAGTTCTATATAAAGATTAGAGTTAAAAAGACCATAAGAAACAGTATCAAGATTAGGCCATTCAGCCCCTCAAGCCTGCTCCACCATTCAATAGCATCATGGTTGATCTGATATTCCTCATGTCCACTTTCCTGCATTTTCCCCATACTCTTGAATCACTCCTTCACCCCGATCAAGAATCTATCTATTGCAGCCTTAAATATACACAAGGACCCCACAGCTCCCCACAGCTCTACTAGCAAAGAGTTTCAAAGATTCTCAACTCTCAGAGAGAAAATAATTCCTCCTCATCTCAGGCTTAAATTGGCACCCTTTTATTCTGAGACTATGCCCTCTGGTCCTAGACTCTCCCAAGATGGGAAACAGTCTCTCAGTATGTACCCTTCAAGCCCCTTAAAAATCCAATATGTTTCAATCAGATCGCCTCTCATTCTTCTAAACTCCAGTGAGTAGAGTCCTAAACTATTCTAATCCTGGTTTATTTCCTTATTTCTTCTGGCAAGACCTTTAGATAAAAGCAAGTCAATTACATCTGTGCCAAAGAATTTACCATTGAGAACTTAATTTTCTTCTGACTGGAACACTATATTGAAACAGAAAACTTGCATTTTCAATGGCACCTTGAGGATTTTAGTGGCTTGTATTGCCTCAATGCTTATAGTTTAGGGTTTGCACATTGGTGAGATGGTTATTCATGTCTCTCTGTAGCCTGTAGTGGTTTCCTGTTCCCTAAGACCTATAGCTGTCGCCTCTTGGACGTTCTGGAAACCTTTTTGTTTCCATCTTTGTACATAAGATATAAACTTGTAGAGAAATGCAGGTTCTGAAGAAGAGTCATTCTAGACTTGTAACATTAACTCTCTCTCTCTCTATGGATGCTGCCTGATCTGCTGAATTTCTCCAGCACTTTCAGCATTTGCTTTTTCACAGATCTCCAGCACCTGCAGTATTTGGTTTGTAATTGTCCATAACATAGTTCTCTGCAAGTTCACCATTTCTCAGTACAGATTGTACAAACCTTTGATGTTACCCAGCAGGGTAATGAAACGCCTGCAAATTAACGAACCAGCTCGGTGAACCAACCACAACAATCCACAACCCGAGCTTCAAATCTACTCAAGAATTCTTTCTTCGCAGGCTATTGCATGTGGCCACAGGCCTCTGTTGCATCATGATATACATCGTTAACACACCCATTCTCATTAAAACACACTTGGACCATTCTAAAAATGCTTTACAACCAATAAAATACTTGTTGAAGACAAATCAACAAGGTGTAAGAGGGGAGGGCAATATTTGCCAAGTTAATCAACAGGATTGGACAAATTGGCTCCCTTAACTAAAAAAAACGCAAACTTGGAAGTTAGCTTTGACCGTTAAGTTAGTGGAGTTGATGAATCATCGGAGCTAATCAAGTTTAAAGAGGGGATGACTTTAATGACAAACAGTACATTTGTGCACTTTATATGGTCTGCATTTATAACTGATAGTGCAGCAGCGATAGTCTTTGTGCCTTGTACAATTGTCTAGTGGTGTCGCAATTAAAGTGCAAACTGGAGTTAAGACTTCCAGAGAGATGGCTTGGGAGTGAATTTGTTTGTATGCTGTCATGTGAGTTTATTAATATCTTGGGGGCAGAGTCATCTTTCACAATCAGACCTGACGAATTTGCCTTGAAAGTGTGCGTGCGGCAATGAGCCAACAAAATGAGAGCAGGACATTTAACCAGAACATTACACACCGACGAAGGAATTTTAACAGAGTGCACTTTAACGCTGCTCCATTCTGTCAGATGTTCAATGGACAAGGTGGCAACAGACGAGATCCAATCAGCTCAGAGAACTTACCCGGCAATAACAATGAAAAAGTCGAGGCGGTTCCACGTGTCACCGAGGTAACATTTCGGGCCAAAGATGCCCAGCGCAATCATCTTGGCAATCATCTCTACAGCGAAGAATGCAAAGATGAAATCGTCAAAGCCCTGAAAAACAGAAGGAGCAGACAGTCAGTGTGTTAAATGGAGGCTGGCGCAGGGACATTAGGCTGTGGCCATCCACCACGATAAAAAAAAGACTTGATATTTATGGGATTGGATCGCAGAGGACCTGTCAGGTGGCAACTAATAGAAAAGGTAAGTTATTTACACTGTTCATTGACGGTGCAACTGTCAGTCATTCAGTCTGGAATCTGACATCCAATTCATCTCCTTATCTCTTAAGCCCTGTGAGCAACTTGCTTGTCACAAAGTGTAGCCACGGTGGAAAATGATTAAGATCCATCCATTGGAAAATCTCCTGATCCTGTAGGATATTGGTACATCTGAGCGTAACACTGCTGGAAGGCAGGAACAGAGGAAGGCCATTCTACCCTCAAGCCTATGCTGTAAGTCACTTAGAATGTGGATGATCTGTATCCTAACCCTGGGCTCTATTTAATGGAGCTTATGGTGGTCTCGGACACACGTTGGAGAGCCAGTGGGAGGCCCATTGCCCCTCCTATGGCGATGGCTGGACTCACCCCTTTTACTGGACAGTGGGAGGCTTTCATCAGTTCAACGACCCTGCAGGCAGGAACTGCAGGTCAGTCAGAGGTCAGTAGGTCCATTGAAGAGAATCATTTCCAGGAAGGAAATGCCTGCAGCTGGTTTGTCATCACCTGAGGCCATTGGTGGGTCCCAGAACACTGCAAGGATTGGGGCAGGCTGCTGTTGAGGGTGCAAGTTATGATGGAGTATCACTGGGGGTGAGGTTAAATCGGGAAGGAGAGTGGATTGATCTGCATTGAAACAGGTGTGGAACAGGACGGGGTATAAATGGGGTAAGTGTAAAGTGGGTGGGGTAGGTTGGCTGCCTATATATCAGGAGGGTGTAAATTGCATTCGTGTAAACGGGGAGGTGTAATTTGACCAGGAGTAAGTCAGTTGGGTGTAAATTGGGTAAATATACATCAGGCAGGTGTAATTGGACAGAGGGTAGGATCAAAGGGGGTTAATTGGATGGGCGTTAACTCAGGCAGGGGCAAATTGGGTGAGGTCAAATTCGAAAGGGATAAGTCGAACAGGATACATTCAGTCATAGTAGGAACTGCCCATGCTGGAGAATCTGAGATAACAAGGTGTAGAGCTGGATGAACACAGCAGGCCAAGCAGCATCAGAGGAGCAGGAAGGCTGATGTTTCGGGCCTAGACCCTTCTTCAGAAATGGGGGAGGGGGAAGGCATTCTGAAATAAATAGGGAGAAAGGGGTAGGCGGATAGAAGATGGATAAAAATCCACCTCTTTGACCTGTCTGTCTCCTCTCCACCTATCTTCTCCTTAGAAGATGGATAAAAATCTGCCTCTTTGACCTGTCTGTCTCCTCTCCACCTATCTTCTCCTTTATCCATCTTCTATCCGCCTCCCCCTTTCTCCCTATTTATTTCAGAACCCCCTTCCCCTCCCCCACTTCTGAAGAAGGGTCTCGGCCCGAAACGTCAGCTTTCCTGCTCCTCTGATGCTGCTTGGCCTGCTGTGTTCATCCAGCTCTACAAACTGTTATCTCAGGACACATTCAGTGATGTCACTCAGATGTTTGTTAGTTATGATGGGAATGAATCAATGCAGAAATATGTATCATATTACAGTGTGCCTCCTTCAACACATACAGCAGGTTGGAAGATGTGGCTGACCAGGTCTGAGCTGACATTGGTTTCCTGAAGTAAAATTCAACAACAAGCCAAATTTATTTTTGTGGAACTGAAGATGATGAGAGTGCCTTCTACCTCTGATGCAGAACGTGACAATAATGTCACTTTAAGAGGTTATTTTGTCCTTTTTTTTTGAAGTGATGTTGTAAGGCAGAGGTACAGAGCTGTGTCTAAAAAAGTAAACAACTTGTGAGGCCTTGGGATTTTTTTAAAGTTGGAACGATGGAAGCAGCCTAGTTGAGGCCATCTCTCACAGACCAGGTTTTCTGTTTTTTTTTTAATTTTTAGGTTTAGCTTTAAGCAGGAGCTATTGGGGTTTGAATGTCTTCTGGCTGCTACATCTCAGAATTTTCTCGATGTTTTTTTCCTCCTGGATTGGAGAACTGCACGTGAGAGTCTGTGTCTGAATTTTCCCTTTTGCCAAGGGGTGTGTTTATGAGAAGCTACTATATTGGAACAGTTAATTCATAATAGTTACTGTATCTATTATTCAGTTAAGTTTTCCATTAGAGTTACGTTATTCTAAATTCCTCTTTCTTTTGTTGGTGTTTGTATAGTGTTTAATAAATTGTGCCTTGCTTAATGTCGAGTAGTTTGACCAGTTGCATTGCATCTGGGACATTACATTTGCCTTTAAAATAAAAAAAAGTTAGGGTTTTGTGAGAGGGCCTGGTCTGGTCCTTAACAAGAATGAGAAATGATACTGCAGTCATTCACCAACTGGCAATCCTGCTTCTCTATGTTGGCCAGAGATAGTAGGAACTGCCGATGCTGGAGAATCTGAGATAACAAGGTGTAGAGCAGGATGAACACAGCAGGCCCAGCAGCATCAGAGGAGCAGGAAAGCTGACGTTTCAGGCCTAGACCCTTCTTCAGAAATAGGTATAAATTAGGATGGATGTCAATTGGATGGGGATGTAAGTTTGATCATGCATCTGGCAGTGTCTGCTTGCTATGTGATTGTTATGGGAAAAGTTACACTTGAGTTTTGTTGCACTGCACCAATGTTTGTGTACAGGATGCACCCATTGGTGGTTCCATTCGGCTAGTGAGAACTTGCATATCTTGAATGCCAGTTATTTCTTTGACTGTTTGATTTCTTCATAAAGGACATTGACAAGTTGTTGAAGTGGGCAGGTAGGTGGCAGATAAAGTTTAAAGCAGAGAAATGTGAGGTGATGCACTTTGAAAGACAAACTGAAATACGATATACAATAAGGAGTATAATTCAAAAGGGGGGTGCAGAAGCAGACAGACCTGGGTGTATGTATGCACAGATCACAGTTGAAGAGAGCAGCTAATAAAATGAGCAGTGTCCTTGGCTTTTTTAATAGGGGCACAGAATACAAGAAGAAGGAGGTGATGTTGAACTTGTATAAGACATTTGTTAGACCCCAGCTGGAGTATTGTGTACAATAGTGAGTGCCACATTATAGGAAAGATATGAATGTATTGGAGGCAGTGCAGTACAATTTACAAGAACGGTTCCAGGAATAAGAAGCTTCAGTTACGAGGATAACCTTCAGTTGGGACGGTTCTGCTTGGAGAGGAAAAGGCTGAGAGGACATTTGATTGAGGTTTTCAAAACATTGAGTGGGCTGGATAGTGTAGATAGGGAGAAACCATACCTGCTCATAGAAGGAACATGAGCAAAAGGAGCATAGATTTAAAATAATGCACAAAAGAAGCAAAGGTAATGTGAAGAAAATCTTTTTCACTCAGCACGTTGTTAGGTTAGGGAATGCACTGTTTGGGAATGCTTTGAATACAGGATCAATCGAGGCAATCAAGGAGACATTGGATGATCATTCGGATTGAAGTAGTGTACAAGAGTATGGGGGAAAAATGTAGGAGATTGCCACTAGGTAATAGAACGAGAGCAAGCATGTTGGGCTAAATGGCATCCTTCAGCTCTGTGATTTGCGGTTCAAGCAAAGACAAAAGCCTACAGGATTCACTGTGGCTGCTGGGGAAGTGCAACTTGTCCTAAATCTAATAAGAAAATCTCTTTTAATATTATTAAACCTCTGCTCCTGACATTCCCTTGACTGTGATGATTGACAGGGTGAAGTGTGAACAGCATGTACATTTTAAAAAAAGCCTTTCACAGATCATTCCAGCAAACATTGCATTTTTAATGTTGCATAAGATAAACTAATTTGAAAAAATACAGCGTTCGCTGAAACTTGATGGGTAGGAAACGATTGCTAATTTCAACATGCCGTTAAAAATAGTCTCACATCTGTCTTTAATGCTGAAGAGAATGAGGGGCTATAAATGGCTTGCATTAATGAACCAATGTAAAGATTGGGGTTAATGTACCGGATTCTACTTTGCCAATCTATAAGGACTGCTCACTGAATTACCAAGAATTACAGATTAATCCTGAGATGATGCTTTGAGCAAGCACATAGGAGGAGGGGATGTAAATGCACAGCAGAAAGATCAGTGGGTTATTAACTCAGAGCCCCAGGATAATTTCTAGGAACACGATTTCAAATCCCACCATGACAAAGGGTGAAATGTGGATTCTTTAAAATCTGAAGTTGGAAGCTAGTATAATGGTGACCATGTGTTGATTGTTGCAAAAGCCCATCAAATATCTAATGCCCTTTAGGGATGGAAATCTACCCTCCTTAGCCAGTCTGGCCTGCATTTGACTCCAGACAGACATGAATGAGGTCGCCTCTTAACTGTCCTATGAAATGACCCAAAGATCCAATTAGTTCAGGGACAACTAGGGTTGGGCAGCAAATGTGACGCCCACACCCAGACAAGATTAAAGGACACAAAATTATAAAGAACATTAAAATAAATTTAAATATCTTTTTCACTTTTTTAAACACATTTGTTCATTTGGTATAAAAGGAATTTTGGATGATGAGGGGACAAGGGCTTTTTACTGCGTGGCACAGGTAGATGTGGGAGGTCAGGTTTTGAAATCTCCAAGAATGTGTCCTATCAGATTATACAACCTTACCCAGGTTTGGTAAAATAAGAGAAGGAGCTTTAGACTTCATCTCTTTGAAAAGCAACCTAGCCTTTGAAAGACTCTCTTGCCTGTACAGAATGGTTATCAGAGTTTGATACTTCACAACTGAAAGACTAAAACTAGGGAATATAATTTAAGAACTAGCGATCTCCCCTTATATGTAGACATGGGATTTCTCTTTTTCTCAGAGGGTCATTAGAATGTGGAATTCTCTCCCCTAGACGGTAGCAGAATTGAGGATTTTAAATTTATTCAGGGTTGGGCTAGAGAATTTTTTCATTGGTGAAGGTGTCAGGTATTGCGAG